CGTCAGAGCTGCCAAAAATAGGGATAAAAGGGATAAATTCCCACTCAGTTCTCCATCACCTACGCTCAGGTGGGAACGAGCTCCCTCCATTCCTTCCAGTTGAGGGGCTGGGATCCGTCAGAGCTGCCAAAAATAGGGATAAATCCCCACGGAACGGCCCGAAAGGCTCCGCGCGAGGGGGATGGGGCAGCACCAGTAACGCACTGGTGTTAGTGGGGCTGAGCGGGGAGAGCCGGGGCGGGGAAGGACCAGCCCCCGACCGGCTTCGCTCCTAAACTCTTGAGAGCTTCAGATTGCCCGAAACGCCTCGAAATCGCCCCAAATCCGGGGCAGGGAAAAACCAGCTCCCGACCGGCTTCTCTCCCGAACTTTGAGAGCTTCAGATTGCCCGAAACGCCTCGAAAATGCCCCAAATCCGGGGCCGAGGGGCGACGCCGCGGCCGGAACGTTGAGTCGCCGGACCCACCTCGGCTCTGCCCGACGGGGACCCCCCGGGACCCCCCCAAAAACTGGTGCCCGCGGTGGCTCCTGCGCTCCTCGGGGATTGCGGGACTCGGTGACTCAGCGGAGTCGGGAGCGGATCAGATTTAATCGTTTATTTATTTTTAAAGAACAAAAGAGGAAATGGAGCGGCGGGAGCTCGGCCCGGGGCCAGGAGCGGGAGGGGGGGGGTGTGGCCACGGGAATTCGGGGCCGAATGGAGGCGCAGGAATTCCCAAATTTTCCAAAAAAAGTTGGTTTTACCCCCTCCTGGCAGCTCCATCCCCCCGGCTCGGGCTCCGCCGCTCGCTAAACTCCGCTTTACTTCAACCCAGCTTTGCTTTGAACCCAGTTTTTCTTTAAACGCAATTTTACTGTAAGCCTGGTTTTAATTTAAACCCGGGTTCCCTTTAAACCCAGTTTTCCTTTAAACCCAGTTTTGCTTTAAACCCAGCTTTGCTTTAAAACCAGCTTTGCTTTAAACCGGTTTTTTTAAGAACCGCTTTTAAAATCCCGCTTTGTTTCGATTTAATTCAATTTTAATTTGTTTACTTTAAACCCGGTTTTGCCGTAAACGCGGCCTTGCTTTAAACCCGGTTTTTCTTTTAAACCCAGCTTCTCATTAAACCCGATTTTATTTTCCAACCCAGTTTTCCTTTCGACCTGGTTTTGCTTTAGTCCCGGCGTTATGTTCAGTCCGGCTTTTCTTTAAACTTGATTTTGCTTTAAACCCCTTTCACTTTAAACCCAAGTTTGCTTTCATTAAACCCAAGCCTTTCATTAAACCAAGCTCTGAATCAAACCCGATTTTGCTTTAAACCCGGCCTTCCTTTAAATCCACTTTGCTTTAAAGATGATTTTGCTTTAAACACAGTTTTGCATTAAATCCAGGGTTGCCTCAAACCCAGCTTTGAATTAAACCCAGTTCTGCTTTAAACCCAGTTCTGCTTTAAGCCCGACTTATTAAACCCGGCTTTGATTCAAAGCTCCTCCGGGCCTGGGGAGGCCACAGGTCCTTCCCAAAGCCGAGCCCAACCTTCCCGCGGAGCAGCCGCTGCTCTGGGAGCCGCTGGCTTCGGAGCCAAAACCGGGTCCAGTTTCCCCCCCTCAAAAAGTAAAAAAATCGGGATTTAAGGGAAAAAGAGGAAAAGGCGCCGATGGACGGAACGGGAGCTGCCCCGAGCCTCAGGGAGGGTTTCTTGGGAAGCATCCGGGTGGGAAACACAAACCAGTTCTGCGCCCACAACACCCGAAAACCGGGAATGTGGGATTCAAGGCACCCGGAAAACGGAATCCTGGGTCCCGCGTAAGGGAATTCTGGGACCCGCCAGGGGTTTAAGCGGAATTTTCTCGGAGGGAAAGGCTCAAATTCCATCAAAGAATCCACGGCCGCGGGAGCGGAGCTGCTCGGGCTCTATCCCGGGGGAGGGATGATCCCGATGGATCCCGTCTCGGGATCGCGGAAAAGAACTCGCCAAAAAATAATTCGGGAAGGATCCGGCGCTTCCCAGCACGGAAAACCAACCACGGGATGTTCGGCGGTGCCGGGCCGGGATGCGGCCGGTGGGAAGCGGGGGGGGGTGACTCATTCCCGGCTGGATCCCGACAGATCCCGACGGATTCCCACGCGTTTTTAGAGCAGGGTTGTGGAAAAACCCTCCTCTTCCTCGTTCCTGGGCTCCGGAACCGTTCCCAAGGGAAACCTCTCCCTGTTCCACCGCTCTGATCCCAAAAACTCCTCCGAGGAGCATTGGGGATGCAACCCCGCCCCCCTTCCCATTCGCATTCCAGGCGGATGGAGGATGGGATGAGCAGACCACCCCCGCGGGTTGATTTTGGGGATGTTGGAGGGCACCTTCCCAGCCCCACATTCCCATTCCCGACGGGTAGAGGGCGGGATAAACAAACCATCCCCACAGGGATTTTGGAGGGTGCTTGGCAGCCCCCCATTCCCATCCCCATTCCCATTCCCACTCCCATTCCCATCCCCATTCCCATCCCCATTCCCATCCCCATCCCAATTCCCCTTCCCATCCCCATCCCCATTCCCATCCCCATTCCTATTCCCCTTCCCATCCCCATCCCCATTCCTATTCCCCTTCCCCTTCCCATTCCCATTCCCAGCGCACGGAGGGCGGGAGGAGCCGCTCACCCTCATTTCTTCCCCCCGGGATCAGCACTTTTTGCTCCCTCCCGTTTCCCCCCCCCCCCGCCCCCTCCTCCAGCTTTCCTGCGGATTTCCCGCTTTTCCGCCTCTCCCCGCGCCAGGATCCGGCCTTTTCCCTCCCTTCCCGCCCCAAATCCCGCTGGAAAACGCGCGGCCCATCCCCGACGTTGCAGCTTCACCCCCCCAAAAAAATCCCGCCCCGCGGGATCCCGGCGGTGCCTCCTCGCCCCAATCCCGTTCCCTCCGCAACCACCCGCTCCAAACCCCCCCCGGGGAATCGGGAATTCCAGGGGAGGGGGCGCATCCCGGGATCCGCGTCCCCCCCTCTCCTCCTGCCCTTACCTGCCGGTTGCAGGTGAGGGCGTTGCCCAGGTGAGGGCGTGGCCCTTTCCCTGCCTCACCTTTCCAGTTTGGCCGGAACGAGGAGCGGCCCCGGGGATCCTCCTCCCTCCCCCCGCCCCGTTAACCCCTCGCTGGCGGCTGGGAACGGGCTTTTGGGGGGAAAAACGGGGGGATTTGGGGGCGCGGGAGGGGAAAATCGGGGTGTTTTGGGGTTTTTTTTTGCGGGACGCCTTTTCCCTGGGTCCCGTGTGCTGGAGGGGGGGGACACACAGCGGGACAACCCCCCCCCCGCACCCTTCAGTCACCCTAAACCCGCCGGTGGGGACCCCTCCCCGATCCCAGACGGAGATTTGGGGGTTTTGTCGAAATTTCCCACCTTTATTTCCGACGAGAGAGGGAGGGAGGGGGGGGTCGGGAAGCGCATCCCGAGGAAGGAATTTGGGGCAGACGCCCCCGTTTCCCGCGGGCTCAGGGGGTGCTGAGGGGCTCGGGGGGGTCCTGGGTGGGGGATTCACCGCGTGGGGTGTCCCGGCTCTTTTCCTGGCTCGTGTCCTGCTCCGGTGTCCCGGGACAGCCCTGGGAGAGACACGGGGGAGTCACCGACACCTCGCGACCCCCTTAAACAAGATCCCAAAACGAGCCCCCCCCCGGGGGGGGGGAGGGCCGGGCCCCCCCCCCCCCCCCCCCCCCCCCCCGCAGCAGCGTCTCACAGGGCTGGCTCTGTCCCCCGGACCCCCCTCCCCGTGTCCCAATGTCCCCATGTCCCCTTGTCCCTCCCGGGTGCCCCCCCAAAAACCGGGAATCCCCCCCCGGGGGTGTCACCCAGAACTTTCTCCCACCAGTTCCACTCACCCGCGGCTCCGCGTCCGCCCCCTCCGCGCTGTCCCCGCGCTGTCCCCCGGCCCCGCCGGGCTGTCCCGGCTCCCGCACGACATCGCGGGGGACATCCGGCCTTGGGGACATCCGGCCCTCCCCGCCGGTGGCCGCGGTGGCGGCGGCTGTCCCCGGCTCCGGCGGCGCGGTGCCGGTGGCCCGGGCGACGGCCTCGGACAAAATCAGCGACGCCAAGGAGGTGGCGATGCCCTCGGGCCCCCCCAAGGAGGTGGCGATGCCCTCGGGGTCCCCCCGCGCCCCGCTGTCACCCCCCCGGCCGGAGGGGTCGGGTGTCGCCGGTGTCCCCACAGACGCGGCGCGGGGGTCGCACTCCGGGGTGTCGTCGCTGGACACCGACACTGTCACCGATGTCCCCTCGCCGTGGCCAGGGTCGCGCTCTGGGGTCTCCTCGCTGGACACCGACGCTGTCCCCGCTGTCCCCTCGCCGTGGCCGGGGTCGCCCTCCGGGGTGCCCTCGCTGGACACCGACTCCGTGTCCAGGGACCCCGCGCTGGCGGGCGAGGCGGGGGGCGGCCCGGGGGACACGGCCCCCAGGTCCCCGTTGGCGGTGGTGGCATCGAGGGCAGCGCTGCCACCCCCCCCGGGGGACCCCGGTGTCCCCTCGGGCGCCTTGTCCGGGCAGGGGAACATCGGCGGGGGGCTCAGGGGGGGGGAGATGATCAGAGAGCGGCGGTTGCTGCGGGGAGGGGGACACACAAAGGGGGTTCAGCCCCAAATGCGGATGTCCCCAAACGCCCCTGGGGACACTGGGGGGGCACGGCAGTGTCACCGTCCCGCTCGCGGGTGTCGCTTCCCCAACCGGCGGGACCCGGAATAATCACCCCGAGACCAGTGCTCCCAGTGTCACGCCAGTGCCCCCCCCAGTGTCCACAGTGTCGCCCCAGTGCCCCCCCAGTGTGTCCCCAGTGACCCCCCAGTGCCGCCCCAGTGTCCCCCCC